AAAAAAAAATACTTTTATTATCTTATTTTATAGATGATGAACATATATTAGAATTTGATACGGATTCCAATGATGAAAGTGAAAATGAATATGATATATCTTCATCAAGAGTATCTTCAACTATACAATTTCCAGCTTTACTCGATGATAAAAATATTCATATTCGTAATGCATATATTGATAGAAAACATATTTGTTCCGAATTTATTTTAATGATTGAACATAAAGAAACAATTGCTATTAGTTGTTTTACGAAAAAACTAACAAAACAAATATCTGGTACAGATTTAAAATATTTTTTTTTAAATCATTTTTTTGTTTTTGTTTATTCTTCTAGATTCAAATGTATTTCATATTAATAATCAGGAAGAATTACATTTATAATATGTTGCATGTGCTTTTAGTATTCATAAAATTTATATCATTGATGTTGCGTAAGATGAGCAATGTAAGATAATATTATCTTCAATCTATCTTGAGATATTTAATATTATAAATTTTATATCAAAAAATTGAAGCTTGCTTTTTGTATAACGATCTATCGAAAAGTTTTTCGATAAAATGTTTGCCCATTTTTGCTTCTCTTAAACGTATTCTAGACGAGTGAAAAACTAAGGATCAAGACCAGAATTTTGTGCTCTTTTTGAATATTAGCTCAGAAATTGTGTATCTATTTTCATTCGAGAGTAGCGAGAAAATCTTTGAAATACCTAAAAGATAGCTTGGACGGAAAATTTCTTCGTACATTTTCGTATTTCTACTATTGTGATATTGAAAACTAAATGCTGAAACTTTTCTTCGCATGTGAACTTATAGAGCAAAATTTGTTCTACAAAATGTGATATTTGAGTCTATTTTTTTTTATTCTAATAAAATACCTAAATTATTGTTTTCCTATTAGCCACATTTTTGAAAAATTGATTTTTTGATCAAAATTCAATTCTGGTAGATATAGCTCTTGAGAATAGTGTTACAAGTAGCTGAACAATATCCTGTCGTGTAATTTTTTTTTTTGTTAATAAATTTGTTTCGTCCTTACATGACATCTATTTCCATGATATCAGATAATATTGGGTTGATGCAAAAGTCTCCGCCGATTTTTTTTCTTTTTGATGTTTCATGATTTTATTGAAACAAAGTATCACTAATCAACAACATATACACCGTTGTTGTCTATGACATATTCCCATCTTTTAGGCAAATCGAGAATGCCATCTTCAAAGAATTTCTTAGACAAAGACGAAAAGAAACTTTTGAGATCCGATTTTACATGTGCTTGATCATCGAACTGTTTTTTCACCAGATGATTGCGGAGCGACCGGAACAGATGATAATCAGAAGGTGCCAGATCTGGTGAATATGGTGGATGGGGTAAGACCCCCCACCCTAATTCTTCCAGCTTTTGGTGGGTTACTTTTGCCGTATGAGGTTTCGCATTGTCATGGAGGAGTCGAACTTTTCGTCTTTCTGAACGATTTCCTTGTAGTGCAACCTTCACATTTTGAAGTTGTTGGCAGTAAAGCTTCGAGTCGACAGTGGTATTAGGTGATAAAAGTTCCCAGTAAGTAATACCTTCAAAATCCCACCAGATCGACAGCATCACTTTTTTTGGATGGAGATCGTTTTTTGGTTCTGGTTCAGGCAAATCTTCAGGATTGACCCATTGGCGCTTGCGTGTATGGTTGACATATAGGACCCACTTTTCATCACCAGTGACAATCTGTTGAAGAAATCTGTGTCGGTTGCATTTTGACAACAAAAAGTTGCATATGGTGATTCTTTGCTGTATACTGTCCGAGGTTAGTTGGTGTGGAACCCATGTTCCAAGTTTATTGACTTTTCCCATTTCATGCAAATGGCGATCGATGGTGGATTGGTCGTACCGAAGCATAGCTGATAATTCACGGTTGGTTAATCGTGGATTGTCTTCGATCAGGACTTTTAATCGTTCAATATCATATTCCAGAGGACGTCCAGACCTTGGACGATCTTCCAATGTCATGTCACCTTCCCGAAACCTTTTAAACCAATCTCGACAAGTGCGATCAGCAACAGCACCTTCACCAAGTGCAACACATATATTGCGAACAGCAGCACTTGCATTGTTCCCCTGTTGGAACTCATACAAAATGCAATGTCGAATATGAATACGAATCTCTGACATATTTTAATACAGAATGTAAATAAAATCGGACATTCGTTAATATCATTTCATAGTGCGGTACAAGCGGTATCATATGTATGAAAGCTACGCATGCACAGTAGCGCTAGATGGCTTTAAAAAAATTTCAAAAAAATCGGCGGAGACTTTTGCATCAACCCAATAATATAACACGATCACGAGCTTCACGAATAGAATTTTTTTTCGTTCTGTATACGATAACAATGAGAGGTGTGCGTAAACTACAGTTGATCCAAAAATATCATAAGATAAAATTCGAATTAAAACTGATTAGATTTTATCTAATGAGAAAACAGGGTAGATTTTTATATATATTTTTTTAAATTAATTATCTT